CCCCCCCTCCCCCTTTTTAAGTCTTGTTTTTCTTTCTTTCATGAATGAGAGGGTCCTCACACCACGCTCTATCCCAAGTCTCAGCTAGCCCTGCCTGATTGTGGACCATGGGCACACACATGCCTGTTGTATTCAGGAAGGACTCCAGGATGTGAACTGGGACCCCTACACCCTGTGGGTGAGCCTCGCCAAGTGACACGTCTAATTGCTTGCTGCATGGCTGACACCAGCTTTTGCTTTTAGGCTTTACCCCATTGCAAACTTGTATTCAAGTTTCCTTTTTTTTTTTTTTTTTTTGTGATCACACAGGTTAAAAAACACTTAGGCTGGTCCTGTGGCCTAGTGGGTGAGGGGCCTGGATCTCACAGAGTTGACCATGATTCTAGTCCCGATCTGGGGGCCTAAAAAAACATGCCAGGCACATGTCAATCCCGACAGCATGGAGAAGGGATTGCAGCATGACCATGCCCCATCAGGGGGTGCTTTCACCGTCTTTGGTGAGCACAGGGGGTGCTTTCACTGTCTTTGGTGAGCACACAAGCTCTCTGGCAAAACCAAACAAAACCATTTATCAAAGTTAGTGCCCATCTTCCTGCAGGGTGCTTCCACATGTTATTTCATTTACTTCTCACAACCCTGTGAGGTAGGTGTTGGTATAATCACCTGAAAGATGAAAACCTGAGGCTCCAAAAGTTATTTGGTTGCTCAAGCTACTAAATGTCAGAAGTCAGAATTTGAACCCAAGTCTCCTAACTTTGAAGGCTAGAGGGCTTTTTTTTCCTACTATACTACACTAATATAGAAAATTATCAATTCTTAATTGAAATATCCAAGTGTTCTTAAAGTGACTTTTACATTTTTTTAAAAAGCATTTACCATAGGGCACAGCACTCACTGGAGACAGAGGGAAAGTGAGAAGTCACTCCCCTGGGGGGAATGGCCACACCACAATCCGCTCTCCTTATTCTTCTCTTGGGATTCTGGGCATACATGCACACAGACCAAGTGTGATTTTCAAGCTACCAGGCCTGGGACTCGAACTGTGGACGGCCATGTGGGAGTCCAGCACATTAACCACCAGATTACCTGCTGGCTCCTGAGTTTAACATTTTTAATGGTGATTTGTTTTAGCAATACATTTTCTTAAGTAATGGCTTGACTGAAAAACTAAATATATTCAGCCACCTTCTGCATATAAAATAAAGGCAGAGAACCTTAGGGCTTATTATGCTTTTGATATGGCCATGTTTTTTTTTTTTTTTTTTTTTTTTTTTTTTAAATCTGTTTCAGGACCAGCAGTTGGCATAATAGCTATGTTGCTGGACTCCCATGTAGCTGACTACGGTTCGAGTCCCGGACCTGGTGGCTTAAAATCATGCCAGGCATGTGTGTGTGCATGTCCAAGATCCCAAGAGGAGAATGGAAGAGAAGGGATTGCAGTGTGGCCATCCCTCCTGAGGGTGTGATTTCTCACTTTCAGTCTCTCTGTCTCTCTGGTGAGCACATGTGCCCTATAGCAAAAACAAAAGCAAAAACAAATTTTCAAAAAAAAATTGTTTCTTCCGTGAGTGAGAGACACAGAGATAGAAAAACATTACCCCTCCAGAGAGATACTACTCCCAACAGGACCCTGATGCCACAATCAATCCCCACCTTAAGCCAGTCCTGGATCATGGCCATGCACATCTTACCTCAGGGAGGTCTCCAGATATGAACCCAGAACTTTTCCATACGGGCCAGACTCATAGAGCATTGTGTTTTACTGTTGTGCCACCATCTGGCCCTCTTCCTGCTAAATTTAAACAACAGAACGCATAGTCAAAGTAGAAAATTACAAGGTGATGAAGCTGAGTCTACATGAAATATTCTATGGAACATCTCAAGGGCAGAGGAGCTGATGAGGGAGGGGATGTGTCTGGCAAAGGGCATGTGTTATTTATTTGCTTATTTATTTTCTTGCCTTAAAAAGATTGCTATAGGCACATATGCATGCCACAAAGAGATAAAAGGAAAAGTGAGAAATCACCTCCCCGGGGAGATGGCCATGCCATGATCCCTTCTCTTTCATTCTCCTCTCAGGGTTTTGAGCACACAGGCACATGCACCCAATGTGTTTTTCAGGCCACTGGGTCTGGGACTCAAACTAGGTAGCTGGCCATGCAGGATCCAACTGCTTTAACCACACCACCAACTGGCCCTAGCTACCACCTAGCCCTCCATGTACTTTTTAAACCAGGAAAGTAACTTTGATCTCTGCCACTAATTACTTTTGAGGACAATTTCAATCATCGATTTGCCCATTTTCAGTCACCTCTCCATCTCCAGGTGTGGAAAGTTCTAATGCTGCAGTTCTCCTCCTTTTCCTAAAGGTACACAACTACCCACTTTCTCCTATGCAGTCTTTGGAAATTTCCAAGGAGAATGGCAAGACTGCTTTTCAAAAACTGCTTTTGTGTTCCAGTTTGGTAGCATAGGCAGTAGCATATTGGTCTACAGCACTGGAAGTCACATGGCTGGTTACAGTTTTGAGCCCTAACCCATCTGAAGTATGCGTTTGAGATCCTGACTAGTGGGAGGGCTGAGGTAAGGGGTCATGGCACGATGAGATCTTGTTGGGGGTGCTTTTCTCTCATACAATAAAATAAATGAACTTTTTTTTTTTTTGAGAGGTTTTTGCTATAAGGTATGTGCTCACGAGAGAGACAGAGAGACACTAAGTGAGAAATCACCCCACCCCCCCAAGGGGGGATGACCACGCCGCAATCCCTTCTCCTCCATTCTCCTCTCGGGATCTTGGGCACGCATGCACATGCGCCAGCATGAGTTTAAGCCATTGGGTCCGGGACTCAAACTGCAGGTGGCCATGGGAGTCCAGCGACATAGCCATTACGCCATCTGCTGACCCCAAACAAATGAACTTTTAAAAACATTGCTTTTCTTATTGCCTTAGGATCTTGATCTAACAATTTTCTCACACCTATAGCTTGAAGACCCTTCTCCACTCCTTATCAAGCCTCCATGGATTCAGTGAGTCTGGTAAACATGTACCTTCAACTCTACCCCTTGGGATAACTAGCTCTCAAAACTGCTACCCTACATTCCGAGCTCTTCGCTTCCATTACACTCATTTTGCCTGTCCTCTGTTTCCACGTCAGTTGATGACTCCCATGCTTTAGTTGCTCCAGAGGATGAGAGTGAGAAACCAAGGGACCAGCAGTTAGCGTAATGGCTATGTCGCTGGACTCCATGTAGTCGACCGCGGTTCGAGTCCCGGACCCGGTGGCTTAAAACTCACGCTGTGTGCATGTGTGTGCGTGCCCAAGATCCCGAGAGGAGAATGGAGGAGCAGGGATTGTGGTGTGGCCATGCCCCCTGGGAGGTGATTTCTCACTTTCAGTCTCTCTGTCTCTCTCTGTCTTTCTGGCAAGAGCACATGCCCTATAGCAAAAAAAAAAAAAAAGAGAAAGAAACCAAGAATCGAGCCTTGTACTAGGGCCAGAGAGTGGTGTGAGGGGTAAAACACGATGCAATGTCAGGCAATTCCACATGAGAAGTTTCCCACTCTAAGTCTAGAGACCTCCCTGAGTTTACTGGGGATACGCTCATTCATGATCCAAGGATGGTTGAGGCTGGGGTGGATTATGGCATTAAGACTTGTTGGAAGACTATTTCTCTGTCTCTATTGCTCATAAAGAAATAAATAAACTTAAAGAAAAAAAAGAGTCGTACTAGTTTTCATAGGCTTCTGGTAAGATAGGTGAAAAAGTGTCAGTTTATTATAAAGCATGCATACACAAATTAATCCATTATGATACCACTGCTCATTTAAAGTATATAAAAATAAAAATACCATATTTCACCAAATTTTTGCTTGATGAGGTAATTAAATGTCCAAATTCTTCCTATACTTTCTTACAAAAAACATACTTTTTGTGGTCTCAGAAATTCACATCGTCAATTTACACTGATGAACATTACATATAATGCAAAGACTAAAAATCAGCAAAAGTTATAAGGGAATAAAAGAAAATATATCACTGGTGTTTAAAAAATTAGATTTGTAAGAGAGTGGGAACAGCAGAGGAAAGCTTCTGTAGTTGGTACGGTCTTCTAAAAATTAAGTAATTACAGGTTCCTACTTGTCATTGTCACATCAAACTTGAGTTAAAGACTTCTTTGCAAAACTGCAGAACTATTAAGCTTTTCCTTTTTGAAAAAAGAAAAAAAATTCACAGCTTTAATATAAAATAGGGAGAAAGCACCAGAAAAGTTAAAAAGACCTTTCTGTACTCTGTTCATGTAATACTGGTTCTTAAAGTTACGAGACTACTAAGTGAAAAAGTGGAATGGTATTGGATCTGAGATTTAACTCAATTTTGAATACTGCCAATCCAGTATAATCTCTTATATTTAGTTTAAAATATCTACAAAGTGAACAAAGTTTCTAAAACATGATGCAGTTAGGCTCTTTGGTCAATAAGAAAAACAAAAAAAGCTATCAGTTATTATTTGGTATTCTTACTAGGCCATTGGCATTAATTTAAAAATACTACAACATTATATCTTATAGAGGCTAGAAACATAATTCAGTTTCACAACAGTATATTAAATTAAAGCCACTTTGGACAGCTCAGGATCTCATTGACAAAGTTCATGTAAGGTGACAGCCTTTGCTATTGTGTTACTGTTCCCACATGATATCATCTCTTCTCAATTTCACTTGAAGATTATGAACTCGTATTGGATGAAAGTTGCTGTTTTTCTGCAAAGGGTTAGTTTCATTCAAGCATTTTCTGGGGATATTTTTTATGTTCTTTGATCCTTTAGGGTTGTTATCTTCTCGCTGAATACCTGACGTTTCACTCATCTTTGAATTTTGAACTTTTTGCTGCAGTTTACGAACCTGGAAAGAAAAAAAATCTAATATATTAGTCATAAACATACTAAAAATATGTCTTAAAATAGATGGCTTAGATTGATGGTTTAATGATTACATTAAATCAAAATGTCCAAGTTAGCTAGTTTTTATTTATTGAACACCTATGACATACCTAACATTTCGCTGGTCAGGTAGCAATATAATGATTATAAAAGTCCTTGCTTTCAAGGATCTTATTGCTTTTACTAGTGAAATATATATGTGTGTGACAACTGGAGAATACTTTAAGCTGAGGTAACTTTTTGTAGGACTAAAAGTATGTATCTGAGAAGGCCACAGTAGGATAAGACCAATGTGGGCTGAAGAAGTTGAGGCAAAAGTGCAATGAGCACCGTGAGCCTGGTAAAAACTAGAGCACCAAGAAGAGAGAGGACCTTTCAGGTGATGATAACAGCAAAGCAAAGAAATGGTGCTAGAAATGAGCATCAAGTTCATAGAGTCCAATATATATAAACACAGAGATCTATACATGCATGCATATGCATATAATCTTAAAAGTACTTCTGAATTTAAAGCACTACTGAATGTGAGTTAAAAAAAATAAAGGTACTGGACTCTCACACATGGCTGACCACAGTTTGAGTTCTGGACCCAATGGCTTGAATATTACACCAGGCATGTGTGCATGTATGCCCCAAATCCCAAGAGGAGACTGGAAGAGAAGGGATTGTGGTGTGGCCATCTCCCCTGCAGGGTGATTCTTCACTTTCCCTCTCTCTCTGTCTCTCTTCAGCAAGCACATGTACCCCGTGGCAAAAACCTTGGAAAAAAATGAAGATAAAAAAATAATAAAGTAAAAGGAGTAACTTTATCTTCTTGAGGAGTATCTGTTAGTAGTGGGGTGGCCAGAATGAAACAAAACAATACCTGTCAACTAGCTAGAACCTACTTCTTCAAAGTCCAACCATGACTTGTCTTTTTCACTTGTGCACATGTATCATTCGTAGAGCAGATTTACATAATGGGTAAGTACCTGGTCCTCTGTTGCCTAAGAGGCATTTTTTGTTACAGATACTAAATTTATTTTGATAAAATACTTGAAAATTTACACTGCTATGGCTATGATGGAATATTATATAAATTACATGTTCCAAAATACAATATGTACAGACTAAGTTTTAAAATTATGACTATTCTTTTATTCCTTTCAAATTTCTCCTATGCAATTCCAAGAAAGTACACAGAGATGCAACACTGAATCTAGACATGTTGTCTTTCTGTGAAAATCTTGTACTGAAGCCTTCTTACACTGTCTTGATGCTTCCTCAGTTTGGAAATTTGTTCTGCTTTGATTTCCATTTTCTTAACTAAACGCTCTAGTTCACATTCTATGTCATCACAGACTGAATGGCTTTCTGTTTCTTTCATTTGCTTGAGTAGTTCCTGGTGCTCCCTATGAAAGAAAAGCAAACATCAAGCACTATTACAGTTTATGGCATGTCTTTTCCATAATTAAACTATTTTCTGTTCAATCATAATTTTTAGTCACAGTTAAATATTAATCTTCAAAAATATTATTTCTTTAGGGTTGCCTAGTTAAATCTATAGTAAATAAACCTAGGCTTTTGTTATATGAGATTACATATTTAGAAATCTCTTAGAGTGTTAAACACTTTAAAAAATCCCGAGTTCTTGATGTTAATAGCTAAATGCAGTAAAATGTTCCAACGTCCATAGCTAAAGGCATAAAATGGCTCTCTTCAGTTCCAGCTCCAGAATTATTGAAGTGAACCTTTGGAAGAGTTCCAGCTGCAGAAGTATTGCCTGAGAACTCCTTGGACTTAGAATTAGCCTGTGCAATAAAATACTATAGCCAGTTTAATATTCTAAGGAAGTCTTGGTTCAAGCAGTTGACCAGACAAATTTCATAGCTCTGGAATTTCTGTTGGATATATAATTAATATGAGGCAGAATATAACATTATCTCTTACAGAATCTTATTATGGATGCTTAAAAATTTATAATGCACACTGCCAGCCAGAATCTAAAACAAAGAATTACATTCCTACTTGTCTAATGACATGATTCATTTAACTACAAGGTTTCAGGAGCAACCCCATAGCACAGTGACTAAGCACTTGCATTGGGAACCAGATCTCACATGGCCAATCGTGGTTCCAAATCCTGGCCCTGGGAGCTTAAAAACCACACCATGTAAGTGTGTGTGTGTGTATGCCCTAAATCCTGACAGGAGGGAGAAACGGAGATAAAAGGACCACAGCATGACCGGAGGGGGTGTGCTTTCTCTCTTTCTCTATCTCTTTTTGGTGAGTGTATATTTCCTCTGGCAATTAAGAAAAACAAAAGGTTTAAACAAAACAAAAGGAAAACCTTTCTTATAAAAGCCTCTGTGTGTTGACTCCATGGTACAGTGGTGACCCTGATTCATGTCTCTGTCCTGATCAGCCTGAAATGTGCCAGGCACATGATGAGTGCCCAAGAGGCTGGAGAATGGGAGGAAGAGGACTGTTGCCTGACCAGACCCTCTGGAGGGTATTCATCTCTTTCTCTCTCCATTGTGTGCACACACATCCTACCATGAATAAAGGAACCAAAAGCTTTTGTAAGTTATAATCTAAGGTCTCCAGCCTCTTTATGATGAAATGATAGTAATATTTGTCTAGCATGACAGTATTATTTATATATGGGTCTTGAGACTTGTTTACTACACAAGTACCAATAAATGCACTGAAAAATCAATGACAGGCCCAGCCACTAGGGAGGGCACTCATTGCTAAAATGCTGTGCTCATACACTGGGACCACATGGAAGGCCCAGGTCCAATTCCTGATGCAACCTCAAGGCTGGCTTGCAGTGCTGTGCACCTCCAATTTCAGTGATGAGGGAGGCTCAGTTAGGAGGCTCACAGGCTTGAGGCTAGCTTAGATAATACAGCAAGACTCTAAAGAATAAGGGCTAGATGTGGTAGTGTGTAACTACAGTCCCAGGATTCGGAGGCAGGAGGACCATAACATGGCAAAACCATTTTTTTAAAAATCAGTCACAATAAATCTGCAGATCAAAATAAAATAAGTCCAAATGGCTAAGTAAGGCCCTCAAGAATTTAGAAGTGGCACTGTTCTTAAGATTGAGAAGAAAAAATAACATATAAATATGTTGCTACTTCTGATAAAGAATAAAAATACTTACATACTCATTTGGTCCATCTCATCTTGCATTGCAATCAGAAGTTCAGACAAATTGTCACAGATGCTGGTGGACAGTTCAGGTGCAGGAGACACAGCTTTACACTGGGAAGTTGTCTGCATAGGCTTGTAGAGACATCTTGGCTCGGCTGCTTCAGGTTTCTGAAGGACATGTGGGCTACACTGTTCCATCATCTGCAGAAGGTTTTGCATACTTGCATTCACAGAACAGCCTACACTGGCAGACTTAGTGGAAAAAGAAATAGCTGAGAATAATTGCAAATGATGGGTGATGTTTATTTTTAACATACTTATTTATTTTTAAAATTTTTGCCATACGGTGCATGTACTCAGTGGAGAGAGATAGAGAGAGACAGTGAGAGGGAAAGTGAGAAATCACTCTGAGGGGATGGCCACATCACAATACCTTCTCATCTATTCTCCACCTGGGATTTTGGACATGCACACACAAGAGCCTGGTATAATTTTCAAATCACAAGGTCCAAGACTCGAACCATGGTTGGCCATGTGGGAGTCCAGTGCTGTAACTACTATGCTACCTGCTGGCCCCAATAGTTAAACAGCATTTACAATAAAACAGGTATTTTTTTTAACATCTTCATTTTTCATTCTCACCTTTTCAGCCACAAAAGGCAGTGCTCCAAACTTTGAATAAATTTGCTGAGATGGTCCTCTCTTTAAACATTTAGTTTTCTAAAGAGTGGTGATGGAAAAAGTAAAGAAAAATTACTTGAAAAGACATTTATGATACAAAGAACTCTCCAAACTTGACAGTAAAAAAACAATTCCATTTTAAAGCAGGCAAAACACAGGCATTTCATTGAAGACACACGGACAGCAAATAAACATATAAAAAAATTCAAGGGAACCAGCAGTTAGCGTAATGGCTATGTCGGTGGACTCCCACGTAGTCGACCGCGGTTCGTGTCCCGGACGCAGTGGCTTAAAACTCACGCCGGGCGCGTGTGCGTGCGTGCCCAAGATCCCGAGAGGAGAATGGAAGAGAAGGGATTGCGGCGTGACCATCCCCCCTGGGGGGTGATTTCTCACTTTCTGTCTCTATGTCTCTCTCTGTCTGTCTGGCGAGCGCACGCGCCCTACAGTGAAAAATCTCTCAAAAAAAAAAAATTCAACATCATCAGCTATTAGGGAAATGCAAGATAAAATTATAATGAAATACCACTGCATACCTATCAGAATGGCAAAAACAAAAACAAAAACAAAAACAAAAAACAACAACCCATCACCACCACCATCACCAAGAAAAACTACACCAAATGCTGGCAAAAATATACAGAAACTAGATCATTCAAATTTGTTGGAACATAAAATGGTATGGCCACTTTAGAAGACAGCTTTGGCAGTTTCTTATAAAATTAAATATATATTTATCACTTGACCCCACAATTGTATTCTTGGGCATTTATCTCTGGGAAATAAAAACTATCATAGAAACTATCTTCATATAAAAAACTGTACACAAATATTCATAGCAGCTTTATCTGTAATAGCCAAAAGCTGGAAAAAAATCTCAAATATCTTAAAACAGGTGAATAAACCATGGTACAGTGATTACATGGAACATTATGCAGAAGGAAAGAGAGCATGTAGGTACATGCAACAACTTGGATGGGTCTCAAGGGAAAAGTGTCAGTTCCAAAAGCTGAGTGAAAAAGCTGATCCCCAAAGGTTACACACTGTGTAATTCTACTTACATAACATTCTTGAGACAGCAAAAGTATAGAGATGATTAACAGATTAGAGGTTGTCAGGGAGGGGGAAATACAGCTATGCAAGGATTTCCTGAAGGAGCCTTAGACGGGAAAAGCAGTTCTGTGTCTTTACTGTGTAGGTGCGTGATTCCATACGCCCGACAGAACCATACCAAACTCTCACTGCTGTCAGTTGCCATCCAGGATTACAGCTCTAATCATGTTCTTCTTCTCAGACGCCTTTGATGGTTCCTAATTGTATTTTCTTTTTATTTCATTAATTAATGAATTAATTTCCAATTTTGCCATAGGTGTGTGGGCTCACCAGAGAAACAGAGTGAGAAGAATACAGAGAAAGTATCCCTGTGGGGTGTGGTCATATCACAGTTCCTTCTCCTCTAGTTTTCCTTTCTTTGGGGATTTCAGGCACACACACACACAGCTGGGTTGTCTTTCAAGCTGAAAGGTCTAGGACTGAACCATGTCACTGGCCATTTGGGATCTGGCTGCCTTAGCCAGCAAGCCACAGGCTGGGCCCGTTTCCCACTCTTTTC